CCATGTTTAAGAACTGGAGCTCTTTGAAGCCCCTGGATAAGGATGGTTCGCTCTTTCCCCGGTTCCTTAGTGTCACTTTCTATAAGCATCTTTCTTTCTTTCTCTGTCTTGTCTGTTTCTCCCTCTCTCTCTCTCTCTCTAACACACACACACAGCCTGCTTAGCAATTATACCTTTTTTAAAAAAATAATAATTAAAAAAGGGTGAGCTGGGGTTTCTTGGAGGAAGGGGCAAGAAAAGTCAAAATGGGGTTGGGGGTGAAGTGAACCTTACCAAATTGTCCAACTCTGGATTTGAAGAAAAAAGTGGCTTTTCCGCCCGCACCTACATGAAGTAGAAGTAAGGGAAGGGGGGGATCAGTGCATATTTCAGCTGTCTTTAACATACACACTCCTATTAACACTCCCCCTGACCCAAACACCACCAGCAGCAGTCCAAACTGGAGGGGGAAAGGATATAAATATGTGAACTAAAGGAGAGCGCCGCAAAGTGAAGGCCACTCTGTGCAGTTTCTGCCCCAAAACCCACCCCACCCACCCACCCTGTTTAACTGAGAGGTTTCAGAAAGACTTAAAACCCTTCGCAGAGTTTTTAACCCCCCACCCGCATTTAACAATGCCCCTTTCCTGTTAAGCTAAGAGTGACCAATGAATGTCTCCCAGTGTCCACTGAAGAGAGAGAGAGGGAAAGAGAGAGAGAGGAGAGAGAGAGAAAGAAAGAAAGGGGAGACGGGGAGAAGAGAGGGGGGTGCGGGTGAAGATATGATTTGGGCCAGTTTTTGGCGAGGAATCTTTCCTCACAAACACAACCACGTTATGTAAGCACTCTCACACGCTTCGTTTCTCTCCCTCACAACTTGGAATGAGACATGGAAAAAGTTGTGTTGTTGCGTTTTGCGCGGGGTGGGGTGGGGTTGGGGGGGGAGAAGAGGTGTTTTGTGCGAGGTGTTGCTTTTGCCTGGGGGGGTTGTTGCGCGGCGCGGGGTGGGGGGAGAAAAGGCGGGTTAAAAAGCGTTCGACCTGTTTGGCGAAGACGGCGATGTCCTCGTTGAAGGAGTCTGAGGAGCAGACGTCTCCGCCGGCCACCCCAGGCTCTCGCGGGGTACAGGTCGCCAGCTCGCACTTCTCAAAGACCAGAGCTAAGAGGGGGAACAACGGGTGCCTGCCGGGCAGTGACAAACAAAAGAAAAAAGGGGGGTGGGGTGGGGGTTAAAGGAGATGTTGAGAGGAGGAGGAGAAGGAGGAGAGAGAGGGTGGGGGAGAGAGAAAAAAAAAGTCTGATCAACAAGTATTTTTTTTTCCTGTCGAAAATAAAAAGCAAAACACGTCCACGCTTTCTCACAACGCCTCAGCCTTTCCATAAAGGAAAAAAAAATATGGGGCGGGGGAGGGGGGGAAGCAGCACTGGAAAGCGAGGCCAAGGCCAGAGAGGAAAACAACATACATACACACATGCAAACTTTAAATTAAAAAAAAAGAAGCGCCAAAATCGGGCCCTCACGAACCTATAAGCCAATACAATAAGCACCGAGAAGGCGAGCAGTAAGTAGCTCAGCTGCCAAGTTTTCGTGGTTTCCACAATAACTAAAGGAGGGGTGGGGTGGGCGCTCCTGCCCCCAAGCTAAAGGGGGAAACTTTATTCTTACGCAAACTGTTTAAACTGCTTAATATCTCGGTGAAATCTAACAGCAGCCAGAAAACGTGCATTTTTGCTGAAGGGAAGGGAAGAGGGGGGAAGAGGATGCCAGCAAAGTTTCTCCAGGCTGAAGAAGGGCATCCTGATAAAAATACCAACTGCCCAGCCATAAACGAGCTGAACAGAAATATATGTATATTAAATACTAACACAGACACCCCAATTGCCCTAGCAGACATTGAAGTAGGGGAAAGCGAAAGTATGGCATTTGTGTATAAGCAGAAAATGTGTTTTTCCTCTAGTTTTTCCTTCTTTATCTCTCCTCGGATGGTGATGACACTACATCCTATTTTAGAGCAATGTAATAATAAGCCAAACAGATCTGTACTGATGAGAGTTACTTCCATTCTCCCAACTACAATGCTTAGTTGTTCTCCTGTGGATGTCAGTAACTCCCACCTCTTTTCTCAATTTATTTTTGTCCGCGTTGGGGGTGTTTTCAAAGGACTACCCCCACCGTCTTATTTTTGAGTCGGCTCTATATTTACAGCTCAGCCCCTAAATAATAAACAAAACAACCCCCGTGGAACTTACTTCTGTGTAAAATGTGCCTGCGGAACCATACAAAGGCTTACTCTCGGTTAGGGAAGCCTGATCAAGGCTGCTTTAACTGAAAAAGGGAATGCAGTTTCAGTTTACCTTATGGGTCCATCCGAAATATCGGTGGATTTCTGCACTGTAGTGCACTCCCCCATATAGGGGTTCACGGCATTCCTGACTAAACCGACCTAAATTGCTCTGATCACTTAAAAGAAGCGCAGCAACACAGGGAAGGGCAGCCTGTTTGAAAACGCTGCTCGAAACCTTCCCCTGCCATTTCCCTCTCGCCTGGAAGCAGCAGGGCTACCCGCTCGGAACTCTTTGCTACGATCGTCTCTGCTCTGAAAGAAGATCCCCGAGCCCTCCGCGCGCGCACCCCCTCCGCACAGAAGCTGCAAAGGACCCGGGCCATGGCGCCGGGCTCGCCCTGCCTCGTACCTACCCGTAGATCGCATCCTTGTCCCGCTTCAGGGCGTCGTTGACAGCCGATCCCATGCTGGCCGGCATGACATTGGGGTGCGGGGCGTGGGCTCCATAATGCTGGCTGGCATGGAGTGGCGGCCCGTGGTTCAAGTGGTGGACTGGGGGGATCGGCCTGGGGGCGTGAGGGTCTCCGTACATGGAAGCAGGTACCCCTACTCCGTCCATCCCGCCGTAATGAGGCAGCTCATCGTACTGTCAAAAAGAAAATGGGCCAGAAGAAAGAAAGAAGAAAGAAAGAAAGAAAGAAAGAAGAAAGAAAGAAAACCAGGGGAAGAAAAGAGGGTTTGAGGAAAGGGGAAAAAAGAGCAAAAAAAGAGGGAGAGAGAAATAAAATAAAAAAAACACAACAACAACAAAAGTCAGAAGAGAGTAAAGCACCCAGACTCAGACAAAACAGAGCAAAACTACAAACCAGGACCAGCCACAACAGAGAGAGGGGAGGGTGGAGAGAGAGAAATCTGTACAGACTGAAATCAAAATAAAAAGTGCAGTTTATAGAGCTGGGGGAAGGGAATGAAGGGACCGGGAGTATGTGTGTGTGCGAGAAAGAGAGACAGAGTGTGTGTTTTTGCTGATGGCGAGGAGAAATCTACCGAAGGCAAAATAAAGGAGGAAACTGGAAGCGTGGAGAGGGAGAAGCGAAAAATGTTCGCCGAGTCAGAAGAGAGTGGAGCACGAATAAACAAAACAACCCACAAGTAAACAGATTAATACTTCGGAGCGGCGGTGGGAAGCAGGGCTGGGAAGGGAAAGGAAGAGCGCGAGGGAGGAGTGGGGTGGGGGGGTGGGAGAGCAAATAATCTGAAAGTTACCAGAAACATTATTTAGCAGCAATTCCCCCTTGTCCTTGTCAAAACCAGAGACAAACCAAGCAGCAAATGTAGCTGAATTTCCTAGGCGGCGGCGGCGGCAGCAACAGCCACAGCAACAGCAGCGGCGGCGGCGGCGGCGGCAGCAGCAGCAGCAGCAGCAGGCAAGCCTTCCCCCCTGTGAACCCCGCGCCACTGAGCAGCTAGAGAGGAGCAGGGAAATCGCGCTGCTGGGGGAAAAGCTAGAGAGGAAAGAAGCGTGGAACAATTGCAGACAGACACACACACACGCACGCACGCACATTCACACAGAGGGAGAGAGGGAGAGAGAGAGATAGACACACACACACCCGCGCACACGCGCACACACACAAAACCGGTGAATAATTTTTGCTGCTATTTGTTTTGTTGTTTTTTAAATAGTGGCCGCCATGAGCAGCAGCGACGGAGGCGAGCAAATCCGACAGGCCCTCTTAAGAGAGGATTTATACACGTAAGGTAAGTGTTGGAGATTTAAACCTACCCTTTGCGCCATCAGTCTGCGCTCCGATAAACTCCTGGAGGTGTCCTATATTTAATATCCCAGTCCAGCAACAACAACAAAAAGTGATTGAGTGGTGAAGAAGAAGAAGAATCCCTTTTCCCCCTTGTCCTTTCGACCCACTTATAGACTTCTCCAGCACGCTTAAATAATCATAAAAGACAACAGCAATAACAATAAAAAGTAGGCAAAGAACCCCGTCGAGTTTGTGGTCTTCTTTTTTCCCGCGCGCTGCTTCTCCGTTTCCCCTTTCTCTGTCTCTTTCCTTTTTTTTCTTCCTTTGCGTAAAAAATAATAATAATTAAAAAAATTAAAAATAGTCAACCCCCCAACTGAAGGTTACGATCGGCCCGTCAGCAACCCACATGTAACCAAACTGTCGTGTCTCATGGCTTTTTGCCACTCCAGCTGTCAATCAAAGCCATGGAATGTCAAGGTAGTGAATGAATGATGGCTGATGATGATGAAGAAGAAGAAAGAGGAATCTTTTTAACCTCGGGTTCTTCTTTCAGTAACTCCGCGTTTGGGGTTTGTCTTGTAGGAGAGCTATAGGTTCTTTTCTCCCTCTCTCCCCCTTTTTTTTTAACTACCGGGAGGGGGAGGGTGGGGTAGGATGCGAAGAAAAATGGAATAGTTTGCAAAACGTGGACTTCCTCCGTTCTTTTTTTTTTCCCCGGTAGGTATTTTGTCTCCCTCTTCACCTCTCCCTCTGAGATGAGTGAGTGTCAGTAAGTGTTGGCAGGTTGGCTGCTGGCTGGCTTATAGAAGAGGCTCAGTTTTGCAGCGCTGATCGGCGGGAGAATGAAATGACGGAACCCGGAAGTAGTGGTGGCCATAGCCAGTCCTACAACAGAGACACATACAAGGGAGAGGGGAGAGGGAGAGGAGAGGAGAGGAGAAGAGAAGAGAGCGAGCACAGAACCAGCGAGCGAGCGAGCGCTTAAAGCCTGTGATATGCAGAGTATGCAATCAGGGCTGCTTCCACGCCACCCGGGGAGGGGGGGGGGAGAAAGCCACCCTGCAAATCATACCCATAGCAAATCAACGTGCCTTTTCAGATAGGAAAGGGAGAGTGTGGGATAAAGAAGGAGGCACAGGAGAAGGAAGAGAGGGAGAGAAAGAAAGGCTGCCTGGCTTCGTGCGTGCGCGTGGTGGGGGAACTGCAAAAAGCCAGAAATGGGGTGGGGGGTGGGGAAGTGCCATACAAGCCTAGCACTGGCATGCTTTTTATTATTAGATTATTTTACCACTCAATACCCTTATCTGCCTAACTGCACTCTTTAGCCAGCGCTTCGCATTGTGTGTCCCCCCCCCTTCAGTCTCTCTCTCTTCTGAGGTTACTTCTAGCAGCGATTCAATGGCCACTATGCAAGCCGAAGGAACTCAGGCAGTTGCAAAGGTTTAAAGGGGGGGGAGAGAGAGAGAGAGAGAGAGAGAGAGAGAGAGAGCATGCAAAGTTGATCTGCCAGCGGAAACTAGCCTGCTTTAAACAAAGTCCTCCGTCCATGCCAGAATCTTGTATTCAAAGAGATCTCTGTGTGCGTGTTTCCTTTTCTGTGTGAAACCACTACCTTTTAGCTGTTGTTGTCGAAATTACTTTTCCAGGAGCAGAAGATAGACCAACCCCATTTGGCATCGTTCTTCATTAAGTGATCGCTTCCATCAGCCACGCTGTGTGATGTTTTTGGAAGGGGGGGTGGATGAGAGAGGGAAATCTTTTTAGGTTTTGCTCTGAGGCTGCCAGGAGACTGGAAGGCAAAATCACTATCTTAAAATAGTGGTGTAGATTTGAATGCACTGGGGTGTTGTTGTTGTTGCTGCTGCTGCTGCTGTTTTAAATGGGCCAATCCGTCCTGTTATTGTGAACATGTACAATTTTACCTGTGTTTTGTGGAACCTGTGCTTAAAGTATTCGCCCTGGTAATGTCTTTTTTTACGGCTATGTTAATTACAGCAAAGTTATTCAGCAAATCGAGTGAAATGGTGCCCCCTTTTTCCGTTCCCAAGGATCAAATGAACTTTTGAAAATACACACAACACACTTTCTTCGTCTTTCTCCCTCGCTCCTTCTCTCTCACTCTCTCTCTCTCTCACACACACACACATACACACGCTACCTATCACGTTAGTGTGTATGTGTTTGTGCAGCTTCCTCCAATCACTTTGCTGGAACTAAAACATGCCTTACCTCAGAGCAGTCAATTACCAAAGCTACCCGAGATCATCAATCATGGGGAATGCTTGAAGTTTAGGGGAGGAGCAATGGTCAAACTATTGATTGCTGCAGTTTTGTACTCCCCCCTCCCCCCCTCTCTCTCTTTCATGCTCCCTGAACATAAAATCTAAACCAGACAATACTGTTAATAGTGGGGTTTATCAATGTATCTACTTGTGAATGTGGCCTCGCACATACATAGCATTGAAGGGGGGGGAGAACAACTCCCCCCAAAACAATGACACCACTGCTTAAACTGGGAAGAGGGAGAGTCGGAGGGAGATTCGGTTCTTCGTAACAGGGTCACAGTGAAGGAAAGTTGGGGAGGAAAGGGAGGGAAAAAATTACCCAAGTGGGGGTGGGGTTGGCTCTAGAAATTTGGCCAGATTTTAATGGGCGATGGGAATGTGCTCCAGAGGTCAATAAAGCCCTCCAAAATGATGAATGATTGAGTACCTGTGATGATGATAGTGATTACCGGAGCAATTAAACAGTTTGATTAAATGAGCCATCATAACAATGATGTCTGCGGGAAATCAGCCCTCACATATAAAGAAAGATAGCGTGGAGAGAGAGGCTGACAAACGCCACTGGGCATGGCTTCGCTTTCCGAGAGCGCTCAGCCTGGCAAAGCGGGAGAGGCTGAACGCGCCGCTCCAGAGGCGAGCGAGGCGAGGAAAGGATCGGCGAGACTTTAAGCCAGACTTGCGCGCTCTCTTCCAACACCCTCTGAAGCTGCGGAGCCAGATCCAGGACGCTGCTTTTTCTCCCCCTTCTCTCTCTCTCTCCCCCCCCCCCGTTTCTTCCCTCCCCTCTTCCTTTCTCCCCTCTAGAGGACCTCTTCCAAGATTAAAGCCGTCCTGAAGAGCAAGCGCTCTCCTCTGTGGCTGACTTGCCCGGGACTTTACTGAAAGGTGAGTAAAACCGCCCTCCGTATGCAGATCTCTTTCAAGCGGCGCTTAAGTCGGTTCCTTTGGCGAAAGGCGTCTTTCGGGCGGGGGGTGGCGGAGGGAAGGTTTTTGTCGTGGTGCAGTATTTTCTACTCTGTCTTATAAATCGGTAACGCAGTTCAAGATATTCATGGTAATGAATACTTGGCTAATCCTTTGGGTGCCCGGAGACCTACAGAGCAGTAGGTTATGCAAATCCTTTCCTACTTTTGCAGCTGGACTCTTCCAACGGATTGCTTTAAAAGAGATCTACTCCTCGATGAATGGTGCTTACGGAGGCTTTTTCCCTCCTTCTTCCGAAAATGTCACTTTCCTAAATTCCTTGGGAATCGCTTTGTTGTAACACAGCCAACACAATCCCGCCTTCCAGGACACATTTTAAACTTGTATTCTAGGGAGGGCAGCAAGAATTGACCTTGCAGGGGATAGAGAAAGCCTTAGTTTAGAAATCCTAAGGGGGGGGTGTATGTTAGGATAGTTTGTAAAAAATAATAATCCAGTTGCATGAAAGACTTTCATATACTTGGGCTCATTGGAAGGAAAGTTGGTGCGTTTGATTTCTGTTCCAACCACTTGACGGCTAGGCTTCTGTAACGCTGATTTGCATGGCACTTTTGAGTCGAATATCTTTCGAAAGAGATCGAGCATCTGAATAAAACAACCGAACACCTAAATATCCCAATAACAAAAATAACAAAATCTGGAAAATAAACGAGGACATTTGCCGTCTCGAATGCTACATTTTAATTTCTGTTCCCCGCCCCCCGCCCCGACTGTCTTTTTCTTCTGTTGAAGTTACCTGAGAGAATACAAAGTAATAACAACAATGTGGCCAGTTTCATACCCTCCTTGGGTCGGTGAAAAGCTAACCCCATCTCCAAATCGGTAAAACGCACATTTCCCGGGTAGCTAATTGAGAGTAGCACTGATCTTGATTTAGAGTCTGAAGTTGGTTATTGGAATTTGGACGCATGTGAGATATGTGAGATGGGTTACATTTGGGCTGATGATGATGATGATAATAATAATAATAATAATAATAATAATAATAATAATAATAATAATAAATAATATAATACATTGTACAGTCCTCAACATATTTACTCAGAAGGAAGGCCCTCTTATGTCAGTGGGATTGACTCTCATATAAGTGTGCTTAGGACGGCAGCCACAGTGGACTTCAGTGATATTTCCAAGCTAGCTTGTCCCTTCAGAGCCTTGTCGTCTTGCAAGCTGCAAGTGGGGCTTTCCTCCTTTCTAGAACCGGCCCAAAGTCCAAAAAGAAATTAGGTGTCCGGCGTGGAAATGCATCTCCGTCAAGAATCCGCTTCCCTCTTCCTTCCCTCCCCCCCCCTTTTGGCCCAGGCTGGAAATGGTTTTAACAGGCGGTAAAATTTCATCTTGTGGTGTCAAATTGGGGTCAGTTGGGGGTTAGGGTTCTCAGTGTCCGCGAAGGAGCTGTCCAGCTGTGTGGGGATTCATTAAGGGCAAAAGATCCGTTTCAAGAAAAACAATACAGAGACAATCAGTAGGCTAAAGATCCTCTCCAAATCGCATTTTACAAGTGCGCCAGAACAAATATGGATGCTGAAACCCTATTCACTCCAAACTTCCAAACCGCTTCCTTTGTCTCTCGGAACGGGAAAGAAAATCCTCTAAAACTTCAAGAATCTGTTTTCAGCAACCAGGCTTTTGGAAGGGTGGCATCTTTACAATTTGAGTGTCTTTTAATATATATTTTTTAAAAAATTACTCCTCTCTTTTTGACAGAGCGGAATTGCACAACAGGTAATATCTCAGTCTACATGTGTGTGTGTGTGGGAGAGAGAATGTGTATGTGTACAAAATTATTATTTCAGATTTACACTCTGAGCTATACAGAGGATAAGGGTTTTTTTTATGGCGGCTGGGTGAGATACCGATGCAGAACGTTGCTATTGACCACCGTCCAAAAATCCTCCTCCCCCCTGCTATTTATATATTCTAATAGATACTCTCTGGTGCCATTAACTTGGGGGTCTCTAACAGTATGGAAAGTGCATGTAGCTAATCTGGTTTTATTAAATTCGCGTGGTTCAAATCCTCTTAGCTTTTCTACATCTGTTAGAAGGACCGGCGCCTCGCTGGAGGGACAAATAACTTCAGCCATAATCTTGTTTGCAACTTTATTCAGTGTTTGTTTGCTGAAATGAAGTATTTTTGTTTTTGGTTATGCACATTGAATAGGGGGGGAATAGCTCCATTTTTAATATAGGAAAATTCTGGATGATTCTTAAATATTTTGATCTGAATTCTGCTTCGAGAACCAATGACAAAGAATGGATCAGATTTACTGATGAAAGCAGGGAGGTGGAGAACTCTTCAAAACAGTTCAGCCACTTCCTCACTTCTATTTTCTCTTTATACTGGAAGTATCCTCACCACAATCATTACTATTCAGAAAGCTGGCACGACTTTTTTTTTTAACAGGCGCAATTTATTTTTAACTCTCCAAATCCTTAAAAAAAACACACCCCAAACCCTGCTGTTTTACTCCAATCCACCAGTTAATCCAAAGTGGGTGGCTGCAGAAAACCGTTGAGAAACCTCCGCCGGTTTCAATGCGTTTAAATGCTTTGTCTTTGGTGGGAATTCGTGCGTTTTAGCTAAACTGGGCTATGGATCGGGCATGGTCATTTCGCTCAGATTTCTGTAAAGTATTTTGAGCAGTAGCGATCTTTCTTCCTACTTATTACACGCACACGCACAATCAGAACTACTCAGTCAGGGCGAATGCGCCACCATATAAACACAGGGCCAAATATTCCGCGGGACGGATGGAGGTGTTCCTTGATTCTGGTCTTGATTCTTGTTCACCCAGTTCTTTAGTCACTCCCCTATTTCCAAAGGCCGTTTCGTGCTATCCCTTCTTTAGTTTTCTTTCCTCTCTCAGCAACCTGTTTTCAAACTTTTCAAACATCCTCTCTACCCCCCACCCCAAGTAAATGCTAGCCCAGCAGGGTGAACTTTTCTTGACCTCTATCGCTATATGCTTGCAATTTTGAAAGTTGAATTAGGAGGGTTATTCATGTAAGTTACCTGTTAAACTTTCCGTACCCTCCCTCCCTTTTTCTGCTCAAAATCAACATGAACTCCAGTTTCTTTATTCACTTGCAAGCCTCTATTATGCTCCCCAAACACCTCTAGGAATTAAAATGGCACTTGTGGAGTGGGTCTCTCCCCCCCCCCTTTATTTCTTTATCTCTCCTGTTTATTCTGTAAAGATCCCGCTGAACTGAAGAAGCGAGGCAATAAACAGCCCTCTAGCGCTATCTGGCGGGACTCCAACACTCCCAGAGTCTGCCGCTTCCAACCAGCCCCTGAAGATCGCTTTCTCCCGCGCTTCTTTGTACTGTATAGTTAAAAGAGATCTGGCCGCAGAACTGAAAGCCCTTCTTCGGAAAGGGATGCTATCTCTGGTCCCGAAGCAGGAGTTCCCTAACCGCAGAAAGTTCGGAGATCAAGAAGGCACTTTCGCCCGTTCCTTTCAGGTTCTTTGCGCGCGCGCTCTGCCTTTCCCTCTTAATAATCCCAAACTCGCCGCCGAATTTTTTTCCCGAGATAGGAAGCCCCTGCGGTCAAGCACCGATCCCTAAGCACGTTGGCTCTCTCGAAATCGGCCTGTTTCAATGGGGCCGATTCTTGCCAGGTCTTTTGCAGCGCGCGCCCCAACACATCCCACCTTCTCCATAGCCCCGTCTTTACGCACTAGCATCCTAAGCCGGAATGCAAATAGGAAGCCGGCCCTTTGTTTTGTAGGTAGCGAGCAAGGAAAGGACAGAGATGGGGAACCCTTCTGTTGCAGAATCAAGCCGCCTCCTTGCCTGCCGGGCAGAAAATACACAAGCAGGGAACGCAGGTGGATACGCCTGGTACTCCACTCGGTTAGGGATGGCGTTTGATATCCCCACTTTCCCAATTTAATTCTACCAAATGTAACAAACAAACAAAATGGAATGGAAAACCTGGCCTGTTTTTAAGCGGATTCTAGGCAGCACAGACCCCAACGGTCAATCTTTTCTCTTGCCCGCCACCCGAGCTAAAAACCGAGATGCTCAGGCGTTCAGATCCTTTTGTCCCAAAGCCCTTAAGTGGCTCAAACCGGCTTCTGGCCGAGTTGTGGATTCCGCTGTGCTTAAATTCCGGACAGTCCCTTCCAATCTGAACGCACCCAGACCCTGCAAACTCTCTCTGGCACTTCAAGGAAGCTCCATTTCTGGGGCTGCCTGGAAGGAGCCACCCGTTTCAACTTCGAGAAAGAAAAGTCAACACGGGGATATATTGGGTGCGTTTTCCTGAGCACCACAGAAGCTGTCAAAAGGACACGGCGCGATTTCTGGAGCGAGGCTTTCTGTATTGGGCCGCGTCTCAAACTCTTTCGATTTTCTCCCCAGAAATCGGTCAGTCTTAATGCACCTTTCTTTTTTAAAAAAAATTCACACTGTCGCTGCCCCTTACAAAGAGAATGCAATATTGGTGATTTTCTCTCTGTAGGAGAAGAGGGGCCTTGTGGCACACACTGCATATAGCCAGTGAGCTCTCCCTGTGCTGAGCCCCGCTGTAATTAATTGAAAACAGTTATTAGGTGGTCATTGGCAATAGCGTAAATAATTGCGGTGGGTTTTTACTTAAAATTGACCGGTCACAGAGCGGTTGGGGTGGGGATGGGGGGTATCGATCGGAGGTATAAAAATGATGTATCAAAACATCAATGTCGATTATTTGAAATATTGTAGTCGAATCTTTTTATTGCTTCATCGGTTTAAGTGTCTGAAAGTGCAGCGTTCCAACATATATTTATGTTGTCAATACTGTCAAAACTGTCAGGTTTATTACAGTGGATTTGTAATACATTTCGGAGCTGCTCATTTGCATAAAACCCCCCTCCAGTTTTCCTCTTCCCACCCCCACCCCAAACCAACTCCCACACGCCTTTCCCCATCTCTAGAAAGAAAGCGGGCGGGGGGGGGCGACTGTCAGTTTAATCAAAGGATTCAGGGCTCCTTTGCTGAAGCAGAAGTAGAGATCCCGCACAATTACATCAAGCCCCCCTCCGCCTCTTTCCCTTCCTGGGTCGCCTCGCCTAACTTGCAAAAGGGATCCGCCGTGTTGCCCTTGCCTTTCCGACCTGATTAAATAAAGCCCATCCCGATTCAGTCCCCATTTCAACTGGTATGATCCCTGCCACTTCTCGCTTTCTTGCCTACTCTCGCTCCCCTAAGGAGTAAGCTCAGCGGAAGAGAGTCGGATTTACTCCTCAGTAAACAGGTTTAGGATCGTTCCGTCAGATCCCGCCGAAGTCAGCAAGCGGAACGCGCCTTAATTCGAAGTGGCTGCGCTTAATTGAGTCTGCACTTCGGGCTACGCTCCTAGTCACTTATTTGGTTTCTGCCGAATTTCGATTCCGGATAAACATCCGAACCGATTTTGAAATAACAGGCTTGTTTCGGAGGAAGAAGAGACTGGGGCGAATAAGCCAGGGGGGTCGGTCCAAACAGGCGCACCTGTGTGAAGCCTGGACGCGAGAAAGGCGCACAGATACTTCGGTCCCAGGAGCCGCAAGGGCATAAAAAGAATAACCAGCTGCCTTTTGATCTCTGTGTTTATAGATTTAAATGCCCCTCGCGATGGTCAAATGAGCGCCTCAGTCCTCTCCTTTGAAACGAGCAGGACAGGAGCAAGGCGAGTAAACATACATTGCTGGATTTTGGAGGGCCAGAGGCAAATCGGGGCCACCCTTAGGAAACCCCTGGATTTCTAGGACGCGTAAAAGATCCCGCTCACAAAGTTTGAAAAGAACAGTAGCCACAAATTCTTGGTTAACTTCTCTCTCGCATTTTCTTGCAGAGCCGCTTCGCGAGGCGAAAATGTGTAAAAACAAACAGACACCTGGACTCACCCCCATCCCCATCCCTTAAGCCCAGGTTGCTCTGCAGATGCCCCGCAGTTTCCTCCAGACTCACCTGGCTGGATGCTTGCACTAGCGAGGACAGCATTAATAATAATAATAATAATAATAATAATAATAATAATAATAATAATAATAAAAAATAATCTAAGGTTCCTCTCCATCCCAACTAGCCTGTGATAAGTCTTGGAAAGGGAACTCCAACTCTCTCCCGCCTCTAAATTGAGAAGTAAGGCGAGTGGATTGGGGGCGCGGAGGCTCTGGTCCCATAAGGGACCTTGTTGACTTGGGCTTGTGACCCCCCCCTCCAGGAGAGGGTTTCCGCAGTGCGTGGTGGCTTCCAGGAACCCACCGTACGCGCGACCAAGACGCCCTATGCGCGGAGGGGCGTCTTGCTGCTGCTAGCGGCCGGCGTGTCTCCCCTGCTGGAGGCAAGGAGAAGATTCCTCGGTCCCTGTAAAAAAAAAGTGCGACGGGACGCACCCAGCAGACGGTGTGGGTTGATGCAAACTTCCCCCCGAAAAAGGGACAGGATGGCCGAGGATCCCCACTGCCTTAGCATGGAGCAATAAGCCCAAAGGCCACTGTTAAGGAGCTGGGGAAAGGTGAGGGTCCGGAGTGCCTATCCGTCGAGCCTCGTCCCCTCGGCGCCCGAATTTCGTTCCTTTCCGAGCCCGGCGCCTCCTTCCCTCGCGCGCTCGGAAAGCATTTAACAACAATTACGCCTTAATCAGCTGGAATGTTGGCCACAAATGACGCTATTAAACATCAAAGGGATGCCTCCGACTTTACCTTTTAGCCATAAGAGGATTAATTTCTCTAATTAGAGGGGATAAATATGTGCATAAATACATATCTCTCTTCTCACTCCTTTCTCCTTAATCTGACGGATTCCTATCGATGGGAGGGGAGGAGAGAGTGAGGCAGGGGGCGCGCCGGGGTGTTCCTCGACATCATCGCCCGCATCTTTAATTCTTAAAAAAAGAAAAGAAAAACCCGACATGATAATGGGATGGGGGAGAAGAGGGGCTGACCAGAAGCCCCCGCCCCAAAGGAGCAAATCCGGAGGGTCGCATCAGTTCACCGAAGTCCCTCGCTGAAGGCTGCTCAACACCGGCAGATATTACTTTTCTGTGTATTTGGGAGGCAGAACAAAAGCAAGCAACTTCCAACCCCTTCCAAATGAAACCTGGAAGTGGGGGCAGACTTGTTTGCTTTTGTTGGGATTTAGGATCCGATTTACTGACCCCCCCTTCCTCCCCGCACTCCGAAGCTCAAGGCTGCGTTTAATCTCCCCCAATAAAATCCGCCTGACCTTGATTCTAACCTGTATGAATACCTCATTTACCTAATGACTTTGTGTCACGTAGGCAGGAGGTCAGTTTCCTTTTTAACCTTTCCCATTGCTGCAGTAAGCATTCTGGGATAATCGATGGCTCTTTGAATAATCGATGCACACTTTATGATCCCTGACAAACTCCGTGGACGGGCACCTCGTTTCAGGAAAGCAAAGCTTGCCTTCTCGGAACAACAGAGGCGAATTGTGCCTCGTGCATCTGCGCAGGAGGCTGGCGCCTAGAGGACTAGCGCCTTAACTCCCGTGTTTTGTACCTCGGCACAATATTGTCCAGGAGTAGGATGCACGGCGTTATTGTGTTTTGTTTTTTTTATAAAACAAAAAAACAAAACAAAAACCCACCAACACACACACACGGTCTGTTTCCTCTCTCAGTAAACAAAGCCCGTGAGAAGAAACATTTTTTATTTGGTCCTCACAGGTTACACTGAAGAGATTTTGGGTTGGGGGCCAGATCTCTATTGAGATTTCAAAAGGAAGCGATTCCACACTCTTCCAACCTTCCTTTCCTTCTTTCTAGGAACAGGCGCAACGAGACCATCCGCTCACTTGGGCAAGTCTCTCTCTCTCCCTCTCTTTCTCTGCCCTTTCCCTTCTTTATTTACTCAGCGATTAAAGTACAAAGTCCCTCCTCCCCCCCGGCAAGGCAAAGGTGCTTTAGTGCCTCGTCGCGGCGCCCCACCTTCCTAATGACTCCGGATGGCAGGACTGTGTCCTCAGATAAACACGCGCGCGGGGGAGGCGGGGAAACCCTGCCGTGAACTTTTCCCTTTCGCCAGCCGGGCTGCGGGGTCTCCTCTCTCTCTCTCACGAGGTAGTTCTTGCCCGTCTTTTAAAAGTTTCCTCCACTCCCGTTAAGGAGGAACGGGAGAAACACGACCCTATCTAACGCTAGCGAGCAGAAAGAAGCGAAGCGGGTGGGTGGGAAGCGAGACCCCCCCCAATCCCTCCCAACCACATTTACTCTTTTTTTGCAAACAAAACAAGTCAGCAGCAGCGCTCAATGATGTCTGGGAGCTCTCACATTTGCTGCTATCTGCTGGTGTTAGTCAGAACTGAGAATCGTTGCAACCCTGTTACCTCTGTAGGATAATTAATACAGATTCGGGGATTCTTCTTTCTTCACTACCTATAAACATATGCTTCGTTGTCCTCCGCAGTTAAGTTATTCAGGGGTCCCTCCACTCCCCCCCCCCCCGCGCCACAGCCCAGCCCGGTATTCCATCAAATTCCATCAAAATTTCGACCTGAGACTTTCCCCGCCACATATTAGAGAAGAGCAGTTCAGGGATGCGGAGGCAGGAGGGAGAGCGCAACAACTTTTGATGGGCTTAGAAAAAAAAATCGTTTCAGATTCCTCTATAGAAATCTGGGATCAAGAAGCTAAGTCAAATGTAAGCCATTTTCCAAGGTGTTTAAATAATGTTACATTGCCACATCATAGCCGGCTCTCTGGGAAATGGGAAAGGCAGACATCTCTCTCTCTCTCTCTCTCTCTCTCTCTCTCTCTCTCTCTCTCTCTCTCTCTCTCTCTCTCTCTGTGGGTGTGGGTGGGTGCCTGCCCCCAAACATATTTTCTCCGAAGTCTGCTGCACTGATTTCAGTGGGGCTTGCATCCACATATGTGGACTCGGAATGCAGCCTAGCCCAGCCGTCCTGAGAGCTTCCTGGAAAAGCTTTCCTATTGATTTAAGTGAGAATTACTTCCATGTAATGTGTACAAAATCAAGGTGTAATCTCTTCAGGTGCAATCCTGCAGGCTGTAAGCCTGTTTAAATCACATTGACTTCAGGGAGGTTTCAGCAGTACTACAGCAGCCTTGTGAGTATCACGTGTATTATCAGAGCCACTGAAGAAGCAAGACAGCGCCATTCTAAGAGACACCTGGCCAGATGTCTACTGAGCAGAGCTAGCATGTTGATTGGGGCTTTCCTAAGTGCCTTAGACCCGTGGCCTGAGAGAAGAGATTATATGACAATCAACTTTTCTTCACACTCAGCATTTCCTTCTCTTTCACCTAAATGCCAGGGACATATTTAATGGGAAACTTATTTCCAATATTATATCCAATACTGAGTGGGACTGCACAGAAGATACATAACAAAACCTGCAGAACAATGAGCTTCTGCAAAGGTAGGTTTAGATAATTAATACCAGACATTTCTACAATGTGGTTCCTTACAAAATCCTGTCAAGGAGACCGTAAAAATTCCTGTTTTACAGAAAGGGAGACTGTGACTTGTCTAAGAACTCCCAGTGAATCCTTGGCTCTGGTGTCAAATCTTAACAGTTTATCTATCTACTAGCCCACAGAGAACAATGCCACTCATATTGGATTCTGAAGATGCCAGATGCTTATACTGGCATTCAATCCCTGGTAAGTCCTCTATGTATACAATTTTAAATGGGGGTTATTCTTAGGTCAGTGTGTGTACGATTGCAACCTTAGTCAAGTTTTAGTCAGGAGAAAACTAGCACATTGGTAAGACTTCTATCTTTGGGGAACATTCTATTTCTTGGGGGGTGGGCTAGGATTCATACATGCAACCCACCTTCTACACATCCATAAGATAAAGTGATACAGTCCAGGAAAGACCTTACCACTTGGGTCTACTGGAACATGGTTATTTCTTTTTAAATAGTGCCAGACAAATAGGGCAAACAAAATGTTGGATGAACATTTACAATCTTACACTGAACTCTGCAAAAAAACTCCCACCGATGTTAGCATATGAAGTCTGCAGCCGAAAACTGTTACACACTTTGCATGGCTAAGTGCTATATAAATGGTAATAAGCTCATTCATCATTATGTATGAAATAATGGTAACACATTTGATATAAAATGACATATGCAAACTCCTTATGATATCTATCAATGCATTTGCAATAATTACCATGCTAATGTCATTGTTTATCATTGCTCTGATCGAAGTGCCTAGAGAAGTATACATGGGCATAAGCAGTGTGGAAACAAAAACATCACAAGTGTTTGTCCTATATTCTCACCTCTAGGCTATATGGCAATCATAAGACAACATATCTAGGCTTGTGTCATACTGGATAATACTGTTCCTTGGGTGACTGAGGACACTTAAATCTAACCCTTTGATTCACAGCAGCTGAGCTGTTGAGCAGCATGATCTTGGCTAAAGTGTAAAGTTTGCTGAACCACACATAAATAGATCTATATTTATAGAAATACTTAATATTCAGTATTTTTTAATCCCATTAATTCCAAAGGGAGATTTAAGCCCACACCTGAATGGGATTTTAGGTGCCACCCTATACATGTCTACTAAGAAGCCCCACAGAGTTCAACGGGACTTATTCCTTAAAAAAAAAAAAAGTTCAGAATTACATTTAACTTCCCAGGGCAGATAAAAGCACAATTAAAACAGTTTTTTTTTAAAAAAAACACCTCACAACAAAATCAATAATCTTTGCAATACATTGCAGGGAGGACACCAAAAACAATTCTTAATTTGTCAAAGGTCAAGTTCAAGAGGTGTGTCTTCAACAACAACAACAACAGCTGTAAAGATATGGTGCCAGATGCAACTCTGTTGAGAAGGTGTTCCATATTTTTGGGGTCATCACCAAGGAGACCCTCTCATGAGTTGCTGCTCCTGAACCTCTGGGAATTTATTGATTAGCCTTCCTGAAAGTAGCCTTTTGGTTCACAAATCTCAGACAAATTAAGCATTTCTGACTCCATCTCTTCCACTGAAAACACATGTTTAACTCACCAAAATTAATGGAACTTTAGAATGTTTGTCTTCAGCTGCATCATACCCACAATGGAGTAGTTATCATTAAAATAGTGTGTGGATCCCACAGCAAATTCTGGTAACCGAGGTATTGTGCATCCTAATTGTTTTGGCCACTGTCTTGACCTACAAGCTCCGTGAAAAATATTCATGTAGAATTTCATGTGGAAAGTGTTCATTATTACGTTTTAGCTGTTTATTTATTGTATATTCTGTGTTATGGTTTATGTTCTTTGCATGTTTGCTAAGAGACAGATTATTCTGATACTTTCTCTCTCTCTCTCTCTCTCTCTCTCTCTCTCTCTCTCACACACACACACACACACACACACACACACACACACACTTTGCCTTGTTGCACCAGGTAAATGGAAACAAATCAATCCTCTCCTGATATTGGATGGGTTGCAAACTTTGGGAAGACAATGAACTCTTTCACTTCTAGAACAAGAAAACTGTTCATAATGACATGGAATCTACCACATACATCCAAGCTTTGAGCACAAAGTACGTTATATACCCACATCAGGGAAACTCAGATAACTTTGCCAAAGCAAAATTCCCAATCAATACTTGGGAATGTATAGAATAATATTTTTTTACCACCACCCTTCCCCATTTTTTTTTTATTTTTGCATTTTTTGCACTCTTGGGAAGTTGTTGGGAAATAAACCCCTCCTAAAACATGCATTTTGTGATGGTAGGTAGATGCTGAAATCAAATGGTTTCTCCTTATTGAAACATATTGTAGGTCCCCACCCCCCTTGGCCATCATAGGTTATACATATAGGAATAATAATAAAGATATATACGAGATGGCAGAAATAATAGGATAATCAGGCCAAAAAGTGATTTGGTTTAATGATGTGAGCCATGAACAGAGCCTGAGGCACAGCTGAATCTACCCTTGCAGCTGAATCTTGACACAGTAAAGAAACGGTTGCATGTCAGACTGGAGATGGGGTGGAGTTAATTTTTTTCCATGCTTCCCCATGGTATATCTTTTTCAAAAACTAAGTTAGGGTGGAGAGCTATCACATGATAAAGAAAAGGTTGTAGCTTTCAGGGTATTTTGTACTTGCAAAAGGACACACACACACACACACACACACGGCAGAATTGAAAGATATGAGCACTCTCTGCCATTGGCCAGGGGACCAAGGGCCACTGGGAAGCTGGTTCCTCTGTCTCCCAGGAAAAACATCACAGCAAAGGGAGGGACCACATTGCCTCCATCCATCTGCCAAAGGAGAAGTAGCTTCAGGAGTCTCACATGCCCTCTCCTTGCCTGAAAGGATGCTCTAGAATAGAAGCAAAGGGAAAGGACACTCTGGCCCCATCCATTAAATGAAGGAACAATAGTCAAAAACACCAACAAGGAAGATCAACCTGGTTTGAACTGGGCATAAGGCTCACCACATTGTTTTGAAGAACAGATCTGCACTGTCTATCTCTCCCCCCTCCCCCTCACTTGTGTATCTTGTATTTTTCCGTCTATAAGGCTAATGGCAGGGCCTCACACCCCCTCTCTTCTTCTTTTGTTTTTATTGATGTGAGCAGCTTTGAGCAGCTCCTGAAAAGCAGGATAAAAACATAGTAAAAAAGTACCATACTAGTTTGGTAAGACAGCACAGAAATCAATTTGTTTGGGTCACAAAACATCTAATCTAAACCACAACAGTTCCCCAAGCTCACAGTTAAAGTAGACTTTGACATTCTGTGTCCCACTGGACTGTTTTGAAACAGCAGGAGGTATAAATTAACTGTCTCTTCAATTACAGATTATCAGCATCATCATTTTGTATTATGCGGGTTAACCTATTCATGGTAAATTTTGGAAAGGATTCTCATCAGGATAGAAATCTTAACAACACTTAGGTGAAATAACTTCTGCTGGAATCCACATGTGAATGCAAATGTGTTTAAGATCAAAAATATATGTAATCTAGCAAGCAGAGTCCTGATGCATCTATTGGCTGAAAAAAGAGAGCAAATTGAGCCAATAGGGTTATGGTTAGTTTCCCATGTGCATTAATCTGCAAACAGAGGCAAATATAGAGACTTTCTGCCAATAAGAACAAGTGCAAAAAAGGTAAGTGCAAATTTGAGTTGACTATTTAGCAGTCAAAATAATTGACAGACTGAAATAATTCAAAACAGTTTTATGAATGAGGTTAAGGCAAGATAATATCAGGGGAACACATCACCAAAATCAATAGCAATTTGAGTGGGCATACACTTGTAAATTGTGGTTACAATTTCTGTGTCACAAGAGAAAAATAAAATATTGTATATGTGGTAAATAAAGCAGCATCAATATCTTTTGTATTCTTTCCACTTCAGTCTGCTGTTGGAAACCTGCCATCTGATCAGTTTTTTTTTAAAAAAATAAATCAGTAAAAACTTTAAAGTTGACTACCCAAATCTTGTATTGCCTTTGCTTGTATTACTAATACTTCCCCACCACTACAAACCAATTTTCAATAATACGCCAGAGGTTTAATCCAGTCCACTGCATAGGAGGATTCACCCTCCCATCTTCAGCCCACATTCACAGACATTACAGGGAATGGGGGTCTGTATTTATTTCCTATGTCTACATTCAACTCTTTGCTCTACCAAGGCAGGAAAACGGGGCTTTATTTTACTCTGCAGGGACCTCTCTTTTTGTGACTGCTGCACCCATAGTGGACTGCACTGAGTTCCACAACCGTACAGTAAAATGCAAAAATCAAAACGTGCAGTTCCTTTAAGATAACTTCAGTTATGTGGTCCGCATGCTAATCAAGGGACTGTCATGAAAGTATGTCTCTTGAAGATGATCTATGCAATATTTTCTAGAGTATGACAGTCCAGTGGGTTGCCAGTATTTGGTGCAGGCTGCTTGAGTACAGGAAGATACCTTGAAAGGCAGCCAAGTCTCCCATTTAAATCAAAGCTATTTCATATTGGCTTGCTTTTCAGGAGGAATAAAGTACTGACACTTGTGTATTATTTTGTGAATCGTACTGGACATTTCAAATACCTTAGTTTAAAATACCGATGAGCCCACAGAATTAGAAGAGAATACTGCTTAAAACAGGACTCTAATGTACAACAGCAGGCTTACATTTTTAGATTTTAATATTATTACTACTACTACTAAAAATGAGAAATTGTAATGTGATGCCTTTTCCCCCTCAGTTGCTTGGTGTCCAGGATTGTTTTCTTGTTCTTTTGTTTGGCCTTTTTGTTGTTGTAGGAGTAATAAAGTCTTTCTACTAAGTCAAATAAAATATTCCTAAACATTGACACCAAAACCAAAGTAAATTGGAAGTGGTACTTGGTTCTTTAAGCAAGAGAATCATGTGACTTCATGTAACACTGTGCTTAATAGTATCCACCTACATAGGTGAAGTTGACAATTAACCCATGTCAAAACATTGCAGAAGGGTAAACCCGGATGTCAAATAACTTTGGAAAAGGATAACCTTGTGTCCTCTTCACCAATCCCCAAGATGGGCCTGTCAGAAGCTGAAATGTCTCCTGCGCTTCCATAACACCAAAAGATACTTCTGTGCTCCATGTTAAAATTCCAAACAGATTTTTTATTTATTTTTTACGGAAAACAACTCCTGTTTGTCGATTCTGGACTATGACCAAACAAAAGGCTGCTTTTTAAAAAGAGAAAAATAAGCACGAGAGATTTCACTCACATCTTCAGGGAAGGAATTGATTTTCACAACAAATGGTTGATGAAACATTATTTAATATCGTGGGCACATGCATGGATGGATTTATATATCTAGCTCTAACCTGACAAGGTGGTGCAAGGGGTTTCTTCTCCAAGTCAAGGTTTATCATTCACAGGGTAGCTATTTCTAGCGTGAAGTCTGGGAAGGGGGAAAGTGGTGTGAAAGAATATAGTTGACAATAATTACAGCATGCCGATGAAATTGAGGGAGCGCATTTCCTACTGGAGTAATATCAGATTACGTTTACCTGGATAAAGTGTAAGACTCGACATAGACATGTCCCGCCAACTCCTGTAACCAAATTCTGCACATATAAGGCAAAAGTCCACTGGGCTGCTGCGGCGCAGAAGGAAAATGGTATCGACTGTGTGCCCTTTTTTTAATCAGATGTGTAGCAGAGGTTCTTATAATCAGAAAAGTGAAAAGGCTTACCTTGAAAAGAGACCAAAGCCTGCTCTGTCATTTTCCAATGGTCAGTAGCCTTTCCACAGCAGTGATACAAGTCACCATATCTACTTCTGCAGTTTAAAGAGACCTGTAAGATCAAGGTCACTGTTAGTACACACATACACAAACACGCACACACCATTTGGCACACTAAAGTAACCACTGTATTCTTGTTTTCATTATAATCCCTCAAATGAAGTATTGCCAGACTCACTTTTTCCTCACATCTTGCTGTAATTCTCCAGATTAAACCATTTCACTGGGTTGGGAAGTGAGAGCGAAAGGGAAGCAGAAGATTGGCGCCTCTTGTCACAGTTGGCCTTTTGAACAAGAATGTTATTGCTTCTTTTAACTAGGAATTGATGGCAACTTTATAAAAGCTTGCAGAAACGTGAAAGAAATAAGAGTATTTCCCCAGTCTATTAAGTTTTTCTTTTTTAAAAAAAGATATAGTACACCCCATTGCTATGGCATTCCAGTGTGACTCCAAAGAATTTTCTTCCTCCTAGAGAGCGGAACTCTGAAAAAACAATTGCGCTAACAGTGAAAATAGGTCACTGTGATATTTCCTTTGTTGCCAGACTTTCAGCAACACTGAGGCACTTGATAGCATTTTATAGAAATGTCAGATTAATTGCTTAGTATATTAATTTTAGCACAACATGGAATTGCATGATCTAGACATGATTGCAGCTTTTAGAGGAATAAACTATTTCCCCCCACAAAAGTGATAAAAACTGAAGTCACTGAAGCCATTCAGAGGTATCTTGTTGCCATTTCTCCCCTATTTTATTATATTAAACTACAAAAAAATCTCTATAGATCTGTATGTCATTACACCTGCATTTTAGCACAAATCATATTAAAACCAACTAAATAGCTTCATATATTATGGTAGATTGTAAACATAAAATTCAGAAAGCAAGTAATAAAAACAAATAAGTGGGCAAATCATTTTTAAAGGTCACAATCAAGTGGAGACTTGGATTATGTATGCTAAATCTGAGATCAGTTATGGCCCATGAGCTTCAAAATCTTACTCATGATAACTAAACTTCTGAACCTTTCAAATACAGTGGTACCTCGGGTTACAGACGCTTCAGGTTACAGACTCCGCTAACCCAGAAATAGTACCTTGGGTTAAGAACTTTGCTTCAGGATGAGAACAGAAATTGTGCGATGGTGGCGCAGGGGCAGTGGAAGGCCCCATTAGCTAAAGTGGTACCTCAGGTTAAGAACAGTTTCAGGTTAATAACAGACCTCCAGAACGAATTAAGTTCTTAACCCGAGGTACCACTGTATATATTTTTTTGGTATTTCCAAGCTTATATGGGGAGTTCCTTAGCTCTAAAACATATCGGGTTAAATTCTAATAATTCTGCTCACAGAATGGTGCTTGCTAATGGAAGAGAGGCAATTCCCCCCTTCTCGACTAGCTCATGCAGCCCTGAGCTCCTGCATAACTTTGCAGGGTTGGAGGACCTCCTAGAACTTTGTGGGACGAAGCATGAGGAGCTGCAGGGAGAAAGGAGTGAAAATTACTTTGCCTCTTAATGTCAGTGCAGAGGTTGGAAACCTGTAGACCTCCTGATCTCCTGGGATTCCAGCTCCCATCAGCCCCAGTCTGCATGGCCAATGGTCAGGGATGACAGTAGTAGCACCTGGAGCAGCGGTTCTCAACCTGTGGGTCCCCAGATGTTGTTGGACTACAACTCCCATCATCCAAGGTCAGAGCTCAGTTAGCAGCTTCTTCCAATACAAATATGGCTATATAAGCTAGGTTTCTGATGCAGAATGAAATTTTGGAGCGGAAAAAAATGGGAAAAGAAGGATATTCTCATTTCTTGTTCTAACCGTAGATGTTAAAGCACAAGGCGGTGGCAATGCATATCCTACTTTGAAGGTCAAGACTGTTTACTCTCATAATAACCAAAAAAGGAAACAAACTTACAACTCCATAATGGCAAAAATGCTAATATTGCTTCACATGCATGAAAAGGTAGTGTTCCATCACATCAACCATTATTACTTAAATAACAATAATTTAAATAATTATAATTATAAATAATTTTAATTATTAAAATAATGATTTAAATAATTATTTTTATTAAAAAATAATAATAAATGAAACTGACCTAATATGTAATTCAGAAAACCTGTTCGTGGTTTTCTTTTCTTTTCTTAACAATTCATTTAAAAAGTTTAATCATTTACAAAGCGTTTAGGCCCGATTATGACAGCCATAGTTATACTTCCTATGGCATATGAACAGTTTAGCAGTTTCTAGCAAGCTGCACTAACAGAGATCCTATGGTAGTAGCCCTAACAAAGTTTGCAGTATGTCTTGAGGCTGTATCACATAATTTTATCTTAATCCAAAAGAGGTTTGCTAAATCCTACAAATTAATGAGACAAGTTAGTCATAATTCACTGGTTTATCCCACTGACTTCAAAGGAAACTTAATGCAACCATTTTTTCTCTGAACCGAGGGCTATGATTTTTTTTCACACAGCTACGTAAAATGTGCTACCTGCGCACATAGAACATGCATGTGTGCGGCAAAAAAGTATTTGCAAATTTTAGTAGCCTGCAGGTACATGCACCAGAGATTCAAGGCTGGCTGTGGGTGCCTGCAGTTCATATACAATAGCAACAAACCTTTGCACTGCATAAATTAGAAGGTAACCCTCAGGTTACCAATAAAGACCAAGTGCTGAGTGTTAGCAGTTGGGGTTGCCAACTCTCCCACTGTCCACAAGACACCTCTACTTTTAACAGCTGTGGAACATATAGAAATTAAGCAGACAAATTCATTTCCACATCACTGCATGGCCATATTTCAAAGAGCTTCGTCCACTGAATTTCTACTTTCCCCACAGCTGTTAAAAACGAAGGAGTCTGACCTGCGATTAAAAAACATACCCTGGCAATTCCAATTTCCTGCCAAGGAATAAGAGGCAGCAGAGGATATTTCACCTTTTCCACCCTAACAAGCCAACTATTGTATGGCTCCCTGCAATCAGGGGTCATGCAGTAGCTCAAGGAACCAAAGGGCCATGCTAGTGGTGGATTATGGAAGGAGAAACAGAGGATTTTACTGAAGAATGTTCTAGCAGCAGTATTTCATGCATCTCAGGCTCTGCCTGAGCCTCTTCTCTTTTTTCAGCATGATTATATTTTTTATAATTTCAGTAGAGCAGAGTGAGGGTGTGTGTTAGAAGAATCAAATCCAG